GTGTTGAAATAATTAACAATATTTAATTATTAGTCAATCCTACCACTATTTTTAAATTTGTCCCTCCATGTTCACCGCCCTATATCTATGTAAATAACTGTCTGCACAAATGTCACAGCCTTGCATTTCCGCTCCAGTGCTCCAGTGGAGTGAGTACACAAAAATAAAAGACTTCACTTCCGCTCCAGCAGCTACGGTGTTTACTTCGTTGACCTATCGTCCCAATTATCCAATTGCATCAGACTCTAAATTCGCTCATAGAACTTTAAATTACAACACATATTACTCGTGTTACAAGTATTACATTTAGAGGCTAGTTTAGAGACTAGGTAACTTCTTGTCTTTTAACTGTTGGTGTTAAACCTATAACTTAGATGTTTAAAAGTAAGGAACTTTTCTCCAAAAAAAAAAAAAAACTTTTCTGAGCTTCTTGAGACTACCGGCCTATCATTGTTGCTTTCAAAGTTGTCTTTCGATTCTCCGTCATTTTTGACGTTCAACCCTATTTTATTTTCCGAATACTTACAACTTCCTCATAAAAGAAAAAAATCCATCTCAGTAGTGAAGTGGGAATAGTGACCGCTACTTCCGTCCGCCAGGATCGCTAGTTGCACTGGTCCCTAAGCGCGTCGCAGGGCGGGCGGAGCGTGTGCGAGCATCAACTAAAATTGCTTTCTTAGGTGCTTAACTTAAGCAAAGTACATCGATCCTGACATCAAATAAAGGTGAAAGTATGAGGATTACAACGGTATAGCCCTTTTCGTGATTGAAGGACTAAAACTCGGATCAGGGCCGTGTGGCACACAGGGCTGTTTTCCGAAATCACAAGATCATTTTCAATGCGTATTTTCTAATGCTGAGAGACGAGTTATCAATCTACTTAAAGTGGGTCGATTTTCTGCCTGACCTGAAATTTTACATTGGTTTTTGCTGCACCTTAATACGACTGCTGGTTTTCGAGAACGAAGTTCATATTTACGCGCATGTCGGGCCAGTCAGCAGCCGCTTGCGGCTGGAGGATATGGCCGCTATAGGTCGCGCCCGCCCGCCCGGGTCACGGGCCTGGCACCCCATGCGCTTAGTTATGAAGTTCGTTCTCTAAAACCTGAAGTGCTTCAAAATGGAATGTTAAGTTCCAGGGCAGGCGGGAAATCGGCCCGCTGTATGTAGGTTGACGGCCCTGATCGAGTACAAGTTCTTCAACAACACAAGGGACTGCATTGTAGTAATGCTCATACTTTCACCTTTAATTTGATGTTGAGTCCATGTACTGTGCCTAAAAATGCAATTTTGGTTTATGCTCACACGCTCCTCCTGGCCGGCGGCACGCTTAGGGACCAGGGCAACTAGTCATCCTAGCTGACGAAAGTGGCGGTCGCCATCCAAAGCTATGCAAAATCATCTTTTTCGAACGACCGAGCCGACCGGACCACGGTCGGTACCGACCGGCTTCACGGTTAGAGGTGAGGAGAGGAGCTCCCTGGCTGTATCCCTACCTCACCTCTCACCTTGCAGGCAGTCGGAACCGACTGTGGTTCAGTCGGCTCGGTCGGTCGAGAATGCGATTTTGTACAGCTCTGTCGACAACGTTATTAGTACAGGGCATTATTGTGCGCAAGTTTAAAGTAAGTTTTGTTGTGTTCCGACAGGTCTCCACCGGCACAACGGCCGCAGTTCGAGCTTTTGGCTAGCCAACACCAACCCTCAGGACATAGTTTGTCCATCTATCACCACAACCACAATTCAACCTTCCTATTCTGGCCTGGATGCCATCAGGGATTTTGTGCCTCAAGAATGCGAGCAGAACACGCCGTCTGAAGCCATCAGTATACTTGATCATGCCGCCCAGGCCTTTGACAAAGGTGTGCACAAACTACATCAATCAGCATGTCCGGCTGAACTTCACAATTTAGGGCAATGTTTTCCCCTAAATTGTTTTGGTATTCCGTTTTTTCTTCAGTTTTTACTCGATTCACTGATGCAAACATCCCGGAGTGCCGAAGTCCCCTTGTGGGAGCAATGTGTGGGCTGTTTCTCAAATGTCACGTTTTTTGTTTGTGCAGATAGACACCCGTACGTCGCATGCAGTATACCGCTTCCGCACAGCCACGGTATCGCTTTGCGTGCCTTATCTGACGGTTCTGTAATCGATGCCCATATGGACACCCCATATCTCCAAGACGCCGAGGAAAATACTCCCAATAAGAAAGTGTCGCATATTCTTCAGATAGAGTCTACGACTCGTGGAATAGGTGATTGCGTAATGGAGCTGCAAAGTTCTGACAGCCAGAACATCGAGATAAATACTGAGCACCCTAACCCCGCGGGAGGTACAGTGCCCACGAGGTCTTGTGACCTGCCGACGCCGGTGTGGGGGTCGGTTGAATCCCTCGTGACGCAGGCGTCGTCAAGGCCCTATATTGCCCCAAGAGGTTTATCTCGGCTATCCTATTTTGGTCCACGAACACCATTGTTACGAGCTTTGCCGATGGAACAGTCGCTAGAAAGTGATACTGCAGACTGTACAGTCATTGCAGACATCCCGAGGCCGTCAGAAGTTGGCTGGTGTACTCGGTGCGAAAGACAGTTTCGGTCTTGGAAAGATTATGTTCAACATTGCAGCAATTACCACACGCACCCTTATAGCGAGGTGTGCAAGTTTTGCGCATTCCCCATCAGGGACAAGGACGTTGGGGCCCACGAACGAAATCATCAAAGGAGCTCAGTTTCATGTTCTTTATGTTCCGCTCGGTTTACAAAGATTCATAGTTTGAAAAATCATGAAGCGTGTTACCATAATAATTTACCGCGAGGTAATGGCGCTTCTTCAGTCCCCACTCTTTCCAGTTTGACACCCCACAATCCAATGCTACCTTCAAACTCCATTTCTAAAGTATCCGTTCCAGCACCTACTATGGAATCGGCAGATCCATCTTTAGCGGATGGCCTTCGAAGGTCAGCTCGTATTGCAAGTTTAAAGAAGCTAGTACCCCCCACTGATACGGTCTAGAGGCTGCCAAAGGTAGAATACCAGTCTGACACTCAATAAAATAAGCCGATGTATATATTGTTTACACTTATTTTTGTTACAAGACTTCTTTTGCATTGTACTCACGTTCTTTATATTGTAACGGGGGTATGTGTTGCTCGATGTGTCTTCCTTCACCGAGAACATTTTTAGGCAGGTGATCTAGAACAATGCTATTTCCAATTGGTGGAGGTGCAGTACTTGTTAAAGAATTACGAGGTGTGTTTGTGAGTGTCCTCATCCCTATCATGGGACTTATTTGTAATAAAATTACTCTGCTAATCTAACTGTATAAAGTTCCAACTGCGAAACTAAAAAGTTCTACAGTTTGAACTGCAAAACTGTGTAGTTGAACAGTTTAAACTGCTCAAGCGCATCTGCATTCGGATAGTTAAGCAGTTCAAACTGTTGAACTACACAGTTATGCAGATTAAACTGTAGAACTTTTCGGTTTCGCAGTTTTAGCCTTATGAATTTCAGTTTTGCAGTTTAAACTGGAAGACTTTCGGTTTGACAGATTTAACTGTCATCAAGTTGTTTAACAGTTTGATTTAAAGAGTACAAAACATCGAGATAACAATCCCTCATTTTCTTTTTCTGTCCTGATTGTTCCTACCCATATTCCGCTATCGGAGCACCAAAATAAAAGCGATTCCGAAAAAAAAAGTTACAATTATTTCTTTTCCTGTGACCGCGCGGCACATTTCCGCCCCTGATACTTGGAATATATGTGAATGGCAAGTTAAATATCTTTATCTGCACTTACATTTTGATGTGTTTTTCAGGTGTACATACGCGGCTTCCAATTTTAAGTAAGGAAAAACTAACGTAATTATGTACGGAAGGGAATTCAAATTCACATAAGCTGAAACATGGAAATGCAAATCCTTGGGCTAACTAGACTTTGCCTTTTGTATATTGGTGTTTTGTCATCATAAAATTTTAACTGTTGTGTAGAATTTTGAGTGTGTAGTAATATTTTTTCCATTTTACTGGGTTTGACTCCGAAATTTCTGTTTGCCTGCAGGTCTACACAATGTTAGTGACAGCGAGAACCGGACACGGAACTGCAGTACTCCAGATGTCGTGTGGCTCTCCGATACTGACACGATTGATTCTGCTAGTTCTCCTTTGAGTACGCGTCAGGAGCCTACGGTGGTCTATGAGGCCGTGGGAAGCATTCCGGCTACTGAAACCATAGATGGATACGAAGAGGAAATTCCTGCCAATGAGTCACCCGGAATCTCCGGGGTCCCCAGCAATGGCGACAGAATTGTTTCTGAGAATATTCTTAAACCTCTCCTAGGCCCCTCCAAGATCTGTGAGATAGACCTGACAGAGCATGATGCCCCCTTCGGGCTGGGGTGTGTTAAACCTCGCATATCGGTGAAGGACGATTTTCGGGAAGCTAGTTTTGGACCACAAACTTCGCTGTTACGAGCTCTTCCGCCCGACCCTACTCTATCTACTGAAGCTCTTCCCGATGTCATTGTGATCTCCCCAGAAAGGGTGACTTTTTCAGAGAGTCCTGGCTGGTGCACTCCGTGTAAAGCATACTTTAGCTCTTGGCATTCTTACGTTAACCACTTTAGAAACCGGCATGTAAAGCGACCTGGGACTGTATGTAAACGATGTGGGGTTAACATTAATCCCAATGAAATAGTTGATCATGAAAGAAAACACAAGAAGATGCTTGCCGGGAACACGTTTGTATCGTGCGCTGTGTGTCCAGCGTCTTTTACAACAGAGAAGCAACTGGTGGGACACAAAGACAAATACCATCATAAGGTTCCTTCAAAAGTAGCAGCACGCCACCGTATGTTTAGACCTCGAACGTGTCTTGGAAATGGTAAAACTATATCATCAGAAGAGAGAAGGCGGTCATACAAGTCAGCCGCGTCTTTCCCTGCCGATGCTACCACTGCCAGTAATATGGTGTGTGCCCCCCCTTCTAGCTCACGCCATCCACACGGCATCTCCAATACTTCTGGTTCTTTGCCGGCATCCACAGAGACAGCCTTTGCCGTTCAGGACACGGTCTACCTCACAACTGCCAGCACCACGGAGACCACTGAAGCACATGATCAACTATCCTTAAATAAAACTGCCGGGGTTCCTGTTCTGGTCAGGAACCCCTTGAGCAACTCTTCTCTCACTACGAATTTTCCATCAGTTTCTCCTGAAATATCCATCGCTGTATCTGGCAATACAGATTTGGAGTCGGAGGCCGCAAGACCCTCTGATAAGAAGCGTCGCTGTCATGTTCCCGGGTTTTGCTGGTTCCCTGGCTGTAGGCAGGCCTTTTCAACATGGGGAGACTACTGCACTCACTACAGCAGGAAGCACGAAAGTGGATCAGCGCTGCGATGCTCGCTTTGCCTCGGTATCCTCACGACTATGCACCTTGCAGAGCATGAGTTCGCCGGCAACGACCATAAGTGTCCTCACTGTTCTGCTAACATGCTTTCAGCTAAGCAGCTCAGTGCACATCTGAGTGATTATCATCGAATGCAAGTTGAGCAGCAGATGTGAACGTTGAACCCACATGTGTTGTGGGTCGGGCTCCGGGAACCATGTTTGATAAAACTGGGTACTCACGAACATCAAACATATTGGTTAAGGTTTCGTTCGGTGGCGTTTTTGTCCACTTTGTTTTTGTTTCGTAAATCCTTAAACCTAGGGTATGACATGAGGGAAGATGTGAAAAAGTTGTGCTAACTCACCGGTTTACTTGATATCCATCGTCAGTTTTACTCATTCATGACCGCACCCTTTCAATGGTAACTGACCTGCTTCTGGTATATTCAAGCAGTTTCTGGATAAAATCTTTGTAACGTCGTACGACTAATAACGCATTCAGCAATCAGTACTGTCCGTTCTGTACCTCCTGTGAGACACTGAAAATAATTGTCTCGATTTAGGATATTTTGATTTTTCCTTTGGGTTTGTATTTATAAAGAGCCTTATGACCCATTTGTAGTATGTGAAACTCGCCATCTTTGAGTTAGTCCCACGCCTTCAAGAGATTTGTTAAAGTTTTTGCCATACTGTCGCAAGATTTGTGTAGTATTAGTTCATTTAATTATATTTTTGCGTGGGTTTAATTTTTGTGCGCACTGTACTATGTAATTTGCAAATGAAATGAATTCAATTCAATTTACATTCACTTAAGCCATCTAACAGTTCTGTATTATACACCCCACCCCAGTCACCTCAATAAAGTTTAGTTATTCTCTGAGAGCTGAAACACCTTAAACTTTAAGATTGAAAACCTGTCTGTTGTGGCGATACGTAACGGATGGTGCCGAAGCACTGTGGGAAATATGTTCGTACACACTATTTTGTAGGTGACCAATTTACCAAATCCAAAATGTGGTGTGCATGTACAGGACAACCTCCAACTTTGCTCGTCATTCGATTCCAAATAAATAGGCAGTGCTTGTAAATTTAGAACTTCGAATTGTTAGCAGCTAACCCTACACTAATGTACATTTCCACTGGACAATTTTCCTGCACCTGTCAGTGCTGCAATTAGAGCGACGTGTGCCGGCGTGGCACCTGCCGTCGGGCAGCCGCGGCGCGAGGAGTTATCGGAAACATGTGCGTGGCGTGGCGGGCAGGAGCGTGTAGGGCCGCGCCAGCTTACTCTGAGGGGCGCGCTCATTCAAAGTTCCAGTTTGGAGCGGAGGAGATCCAACTTGCCGGCGGGCGGTGGCGGTGCGGGCGCCGTGCACGGAGCCGTGGCTTCCTGCCCCGCCTCCCCTCGGCCCTCTCTGTCCGTATGCTGCACACACAGGTTAGCTAGCCGTACATTCAGCATTTCTGCCCTTGTGCCGCCCACCCCCTATCCCCCTCGGTCCCCTTCTCACGCTTGGTAAGGCGCGGGAGGCAGCAGGCGTTTGTGTGGCCGTCGGCCCCCTCCCCTTCTCGACCCGACTCTACTCGGCACCATTGTAGCCAACTTGCCGATATCAGCCACCAATGGCTGCTGCAATTCCGTAATTGCCGTGCGGGGCGTGGTGGGGCGCACGCGTGACGTACAGCCCCGCCTCGCCTTCTGCGCTCTGCTTCAACCCTATTCTGCTCGGTGCGCCCCCTTCTCCCTCTCTCTCTCCTTCCTTTTCTCGGTTCCAAGGAGGGAAAACTGCGGACCAACTCGGCATGAAAAGTCGCTGGCGCGTTCACCTGCGGCCCTCGCGCTCCCCCCGGTTGCGCCGGCAATGCGGCCGGGCTGCCTCTCCTCGTGTGGGCCGGGCTGCACTCGCCGCTGCGAGGAGCGGAGCCCGAGGCCCCGAGCAGGAGCAGACTCTGAGGAGACAACCCTCCAGGACCCGCCCGTGTGGTCTCTGCGAATGTGGTCGCCGATTTTCTTTTGAACGTGAGACTTTGATTATGGTCGGGAGTATTGGCTCAAGACAGATATATACCAGCTGTCTCGGCTCTAACAGCCCGATAAATTTGACTCAAATTTGGGCAGCTTTTGTCACTTCCCGGCTGAGATGCTGCTGATTCCGGCAGGAGTTGCTGAGAGGGCTGGGCACCTTTGCGCCTCTGTGCTGACAAACACAGCCCGCCTGCCGCCTACACCCCCGCAAGGTGCTTCACCTCCAGCTCGGTCCTTGCCACCCCTAATCCTATCGGGAATGCATCCACCCGCCCTCCCCCCACTCCAGTCTAGGGGTTATTTTGGACGTGTCATATGCAGAGCGCTGAGTGCGCGTGGTAAGGCGATGCGGAGGCTGCCGGACCGAGCCGAGTGCCACTCGGAATCGCTTAAGGCGCCGGGGCGGGGCTGCATGCGATGTGTGCAAGGAAAGGGGGCTTTGCAAAGAATTTGTGACGATTGGCGGGTTTTGCCTACTTTTCTGGCAACACTGGCAGTGATATTATCTGTATGAGCTTGAGCAAACAACTTATGGATTGGTAAATTTGAAACCTTTAGTACACAAATCCGTTCAGATACATAGTTTAGAGAACTTAAATAGTAAAATTTACAATCTAAGGGTTTCATGTATTTTTGCAATGAAAATGCGTGCACGACTTAAAAATAAAGTTCCCTTCTCTTTTAGATTGGGGGCGTTGTCGCCAAGAGAGTGAAAAGACGGCGCGGCCGCGTTTCCATGGCGTTGTCATGCTCTCTCTCCCTCTGCGCTCCGCGCAATACCACTTGGCTGCAAACGTTATATGCTGATGTAGCAAGAGGTCGCGCGGCTCACCGCCGGTGCTGGCGCGGCGGGTCGTTAAATTTGAGCTTTTCCCCTCTTTTACAATGACACCGCGCCAGATGACGCGCACCTAGCGCCCCGCCGCCCGCCGCGCTGCCTCCTCTCTCGCTTCCGCCCATTTTAATATGGCTTGGGCGGCGCCGACTCGAAGCGACGACAAGCGGGAGGAAATGGAATTTGCACCTGTGTATGCCCACGACGGCGTCGCCGCGACTTGTGCAGAAGATGCTGGTTAGTTCGGCTATGAGACGCTTTGGGGCCAACACTCGCGTGCGTGGCGCTGCCACTTCTCTTTCTTATTTTTTTTGGAGCGTGCAGGTAAGAGCCACCCCCTCTCTCTCCCCCGCTCCGATAGGCCGCTGCCGGACCATTGGGGGCCCCCTTTCTGTGTTGGAAATAGTCTTCCACTCAATTTGAGCGAATCTGGCACTACTTTGGAAGAGAAGGGGCTGGCCAACGCCGCGCGGCAATGAAACGCGCCGACTGCTGTGAGAATAAATGACGTTGTGTCGGACGCATTTTCTGTCGTTGGAAAAGAGAAGGGGGGGGGGGAGGCGAGATTTGACGCCGTTTTCGCATTTGACGGCGCTGTGTCTGTGTGCGTGGGAGTAGGTCAGGTGGAACCGCCGCAGCGGGGAGGGCGGAGGGAAGGGGGCGCGCAGACTGTCGGGAGCTTCTTGTAGGCGAAGCCCCTCGACGTCTGATTAGAACCAGTGCCTCTCGGCGGGACCCCGCTCCCCACCCCGGAGGCCCTTGCGGTGATTGGCTGGACCTGGCCATCTCTACATGGATGTCCTTTGAGGCCTTGATTTGGCGACTCGGGGCCGGCCGGTCCGGCCCAGCAGGCTTCTGGTCCAGCGCGGCACCCGGGCCGGTCCCAGCCCGCCGCCGCCGGCAGTCCGGGCGAGCTGTTTGGTCCCGCCGCGATACTCCCCTGATTGATTCAGTCCTTTGCGCTTATTCGGTCTTGCCCGGCAGGGGATTTGGCCCGAGCGGCAGTCTCTCCTTTCCCTTACCTTGGAGTCGGGTCCGGCGCGCCCGTCCCGGACCCTCATTGTGCCCGGGCCAGCAGCAGCAGAGAAAGAAAGTAAAGTCGCGGAGAAATAGTGTGCGGGAAAGTTTCTCCTTTGCGCTCGCTCAGTGTGGCGCTTTTATACCGATTGTTAGTCACGGCGCTCGTTGGCGGCCGCGAGCTGACACGGGCCCATCTGGAAGTTTTGCACTTTGAGGAGGCGGCGGTGAGTTTACATATCGCGTGTGAAGCTCGGCTCGACGCGCGGGGCCGGGAGCGGGGCGACCGAAGTGAACCGACTGCGAGGCGCGCTGTTATTCCCTCCTTGTCGCTCTGCCGCGCTCTTTTGTGGCTGTGTGTCTGCGGGGATGAGTGAGTGGGAGAGGGAAGTGCGGGGCGGAGCGGACGGAGCGCAGCTGCTGGAAGGGTCACTCCTTGTTCTCCTTTGGCTCGGAGGGCCGTCTTAGGGCTTCCGCCAGCAATTGTAGAGCCGAGGCGAGCCGAGCGCGCGGCGCGGCGCGGCGGCTCCGACGAGAAAAAGGGAAGAGAAAAAGTTTGTCCCTCGGCAGAGCGCTGCTGCTGCTGCTGCTAGCTATCGTGGTGGAAATGAAAAAGGATAGATTAGACTAGAGACGAGGTTGCTCGAAGAGGGTCCATCCATCATGCTAGGGGTGACCCACGCGCGGCCCCGCGCACCCCGACCAATAATTAAAACTGCTATTGAAGCTGATTAATAGACACGCAACCCCTTGCCATCAGTCAGCCGTCACCACATCATCGGGATTAGCGCGACGTCCCATCCAATTTCAAGTTCTATAATTTGTAATCGTCGGTCTCGTTGCGGAGGGGGTGGGCTGCAAGTCGAGAGGTCATTCTTCCGAGAGAGAAAAGAAAGGAGCAGTGGTGCACTGGGGCGCGGCGGAGCGGCGGAGCGGGTGGGGCAGGCTGCACACTGCGCTGTGCTTCCGAGCGCGCGAAATAAACTTGCTGCGTACACTTTTCGCACTCGGTGTCTCTTGAGTCGGTTTGCATATTTGAAATACTAGGGGTGTGGTGGTGCGCAACCACGCGGCTGAATTGTTATGCGTGGGTCTGGCAGTGGTGCGTTATTTTTAAATAACAAAGCCTGCCGCGACATTTCTCCGCTGCATTTTTTTCGCAAAAGGGGGGGGGGGGTATGAAAATAAATGAAAATGTGTTTGAGCACATTTGCCAAATGGCCCGCGCGAGTTTAGAGGAATTCCAATGATCCTAATTTTGTCTGCGTGGGTGTGGCGCGCTTATGAAGATCTTTGCAATGAGCCCCAAACAGTAATTGCACTTTAATCCTCCGTAATTCGGCGCAAGGGCGTCCCCCGTGGCCCGTCCCCGCTGGAGTTGCAAACTCTCGTGTGGCGAGCAGGTGGTGTGGTGTGGCGTGGCCGGCTGCCCGATTCCCAGCCAAGTTACCTGCTGCTCAGAGCGCGGCGGAGCTTCCGATGGGGTGGGCTGGCAAATCTCTGCCGACTCAGATGTTTGTGGCAGTCTGGGTGGCAGGTTTTTGTATTTAGTTTACCTTATAACCCCTTTATTGTTGCAGGGCAATGACAACCAGACGTGGGCTCCAGATGAGAAGTGCGTTTCTTCGATGTGAAACTTGTTTTCGCAACTCTGTTGTAATAATATGTGCAAAAACTCTTCTTTACTGGTCGTGTTTAAGTTTTCAATTAACTCAAGAAACCACCTGATTGCATTCACAGCTGCAGCAGCCGCTCTTCTTCCACATTGGTCCCAAACCTAGAAAGGCATGGGTTAAAGCGTTGGGACTATAATTTCACAATAACGCCGAAAAACAGTGTCTAACATGCTTGAAAACTCAATACATTTTAAATAAGACGGTCTTCTCCTGATCCTATTTAGGCCTTTTTAGACGATCCAGTCTATACCAGCAGGTTTGGCGCGCGGGGGAGTGGTGCGATATGCTTCGTCCCAACTTCCCCCCGCCGGCCAACAATCACTACTGTGCGATAGGCCACTCCCCATCAAGGCGCTCCCAGCCCCACAAACAATATACACTCAACACTCCTCCAAGCCTGGCCTGAAGGTAGCCCAGGCCAGGGCGCGGGCCGCCAAGGCCTCGACTCCAACGACGAGCACCTCTGGTTGCTCGGTCTAGTGCTCGTCCAAAGCGAGGGCGATCACCACGTCGCCACTCACTCGCCCAACAACTAACTGCATGGTCTCGCAAGGGAACTCATAAGAAGTATTAGTCCCCCAATTTTGTTCCGCCTGCGGGGGGGGGTTTGTGAGGGTCAGTGTCAGCAAAGACGGACGACAACAACGCACAAGGCCGTGAATCTCAGAACAAAGAGTCGTAACTACTCTTGTTCTAGAAAGCAATAACGTATTTAATTAGTAAAAATAATTTTGTATTAGATTTTGTTTTATTCGGATCGTCTATTTGTTAACACGCAGTGTTAACGTTTTTTGTGGTTAAAAGTCTGAAGAGTCTCAAATTCCAGGGCCTGTCTGCGTGTGGAAGGGGACTGTTGATGGCGCGCCTTGCGTCCAGCTCAGGCCTGGGCGGCGCTGATTGGTCTGCCGGATGCCCCCTTGGGGCTGTGTATGCACAGGCACCCCGGCTGGGTCTGACCCGACGGCGTGCGACGATGAGGGCGACTGACAAGGGAACCTTTTCAGGTGTAAATCTCCGATTTCGTTGGTACTCGGAAAATTTGAAGGTTATTATAATAGAAGTCGGATAGCACTTGAAATTTTTCCTAAACTTAACATTTACTAGGGGTTTACTTAAGCCTGACACTGTTTTTTGCCCCAAATATCTCTCTACCGCTTTAACGGTTCAAAATAGAGCAAAACGGTCAAAATTTTGGCCCAAAGGGCGCTACATTGACGAGTTACCCCTTAGAACACGGCTCTTCATTTTTCAAAAAATATTTTTTTCTAACACCTTACTCCTACCCGCTCCTAGCTATTATAGGGGAAAACTAAATGTCAGGTTTAGGAAAAATTTCAAGTGCCATCCGATTTCTACATAGATAACCTTCAAAGTTTCCAAGTTTCAACAAAATCGGGGATTTACACCTGAAAAGGTTCCCTTGTGAGGGGTCCGCACGTTTGGCTGCCGGTGGCACGCATGCTTCATTCTTGAGCTTCCTTATAAGTGTTCCCGCTGGTCTTCTTTCGTCTTCCCAGTAGTTATTTTGGCGGTTATTGCACACGCTCGAACCTAGTTGCGCACCCCCTTGCAGCGTGTAAACTAAACAACTGCTCGGCACGGTGACCTGGGGATAATGGATCCTTTCTGTGTGGAGGGCTTTCCGCTAACGCTGCTATGAGCTGAAGTCATTTTAAGCTTGAAATTGTTACATAATGCTGCTTTTACATCGTTATTAGCAGATGATACATTTGTAACTAAAACTGTTTTTGATTTGCATCCCTTGTGTTTTGCTTGGTCGTAGTTTATAAAATGTTTCAGGCGGGCTGAGCAATTAAATATAATGTTTATTAGTAGATAAAACTGCCCTTCTCTTTATTTTTCATCGGACCATGTCAACCAACGAGCGATGATAAAAGTTTCAGATACACTATTTTTGCTGTCCAGGCTCCGCGGACAGAAAGCTAGATGGCGATCCTAAGTCGTGCACGTGTAGTGATGCAAATTTTCACTGGACTTTCAAAGTTGCGAAAAATTTCCGAAAATTTCGGAAAAATTCAGTAAATTTCGGAAAAATTGGAAAAATTTAAATTTTTTCATGCAAAAAGCTATAACGTAAGTTATTGTCCATTTTCACTCCAAATACATTCTTTCTGGAGGTTTTGAATGAATTAGGCGCAGAACAAAGCGATCAGATTACTTTCAAAAGTGGATATATTACGAAATTACTAAGAGGAAATCAAATAATTTCTTTTATTATTCAACTTAAAGCGAACAAATCGAACAAAAAAGCATGTTTTTCTTTGGTGTGCAAGTATCAAGTATTCATAATCAGTCATAAAAAAGGGTACAATGGCATGGCAGACAATCTTTGGCTCAGTGGTGGCGAGATGAGCGGCGGAGCCCCGCGCTGCCTGACTCCGGCGCTTGACGGGCACGAGGTTGTGCTTGTGCATTCCGAGCCCTAGTTGGTGGCGGTGCGGGCACTGGCGGGGGCTCTTCTCCTCGTGCGTGTTCGGGCTGAGGCCCCTCCCTGGTTCGCTCTTGCTCACCACCACTGTCGTCGTCATCGCCGTCACTCCAGTCACTGATATTCTCATAGTCCCGGTCATTATAATCATCATCTTCTGAGTCTTCCTCCTCGAAGTTGACGTCGCCGTCATCGGTGTGCTCATCATCTTCAGGCCCCTCTTCTGGTGCTCCGGCGGCCCTCGCTGGCAGGTAGTTCTCAAAGTAAGCATCGATGTCCGCCACGGTGAAGAAGGGAGTGACGGTGGCCGGCTTCGATGATGGCTCCTTCAGAGCAGCTTTGGTCGCCACCAGCTTCCTCACGCGCTCGTTCAGGAGTCGGTTGCGTGTCTTGCTATGAATAAACTTGCGGAGCTTCCAGTTGCGCTCGCATTCTGCGACACTGGGTGGCAGACTCAGAATCCGGCGAGCGAGGGGCGCTATGGGCTCAGTGGCACACACTCCTGCCCACCACACATTGGGGACGCAGGTGTCGGCCGCTCGCCATACACCTTCGTGAGCGAAGAACCCTGTTCGAGTGCGGAATGCAGCCAGACTGGCGATGACGGCACCTTCGTCGAGACCGATGTGCTTACACATCGTACCAATGAATTCAATAATAGAAACTATATCTGCAGGCTCAAGCAAGTCGTGCTTGTCCCGGTACCTAGGATCCAGCAGAAAACATGCCTTATGAATTGTCCTAATTGTGAAAACTTCGCGCTCCTCAAGATAACTTTTCACAAGGTTTTTCTCCCTAGTTTTGAAAGGCAACTTTGTGAGATTGTCTAGGAGAGCCTGTGTGTACTTTTTTTGCAAAAAAAAGACGTCTGAAAGCAGGGCTTTGTTTGACTCAATCAAAGTAATACAGCCATGTAAGGGCTTTAGCATATCAATTGCTATTTTAACCCTATCCCAGAATCTAACATTGTCTAGAGACCAAGTTCGCACAGAATCAGAAAATTTTAAGTCCTCATTTACAACAGTTTCCTGTATGGCTGCCTTATTTTTTATAAGTGAATTGAATGTTATCACAGCTCCACCCCACCTAGTGGCTGCTGGTAACTTCAGAGTAACACAACCGTCCCCATACTTTTCCTTCTGTTTTAGCTTGAAAGTTGCATGATTTACATAAACATTTCTGATTGATTTTACAATGGACTTAGCTATCATAAACAGCTTGTGCAGAGTGTTCAGTTCCATAAGATCTTTGAATAGCAGGTTCCAACAGTGGGAAGCACACCCCACTGCTGTGATATGAGGGAATTCCAAAGTTACTATTCCCATGGCCACAGTCATAACAGAAGCATTATCAGTAACTAGAAGGTAACAGCGGTTAGGGCCTATTTCATTTAGAACAGTTATAAATTCTGTAGCTATCAACTCCGAAGTCTCTCTCTCGGTCCCCATGACCTTGTAAGTGTACAGCATTGGTTGAGGAGTTGTGACTATGAAATTAATAACGTGCTCTCTATTGACGGTGGCACAACCGTCCGCCATCAAAGCAACACAGTCACTTTCTTGAATTGCTGACTTGACTTTGGCTTCCGCAAGAGCGAATTCTCTGTCCAGCAGTGTGCCGCCTAACTTGAACCTAGACGGTGGTTTTCCGTATGAAGGCCTCAGTAAGCTTAGCGCTCTTTGGAAGTGCACATTTTCAAATGTCGAAAGCGGAAGTCCGTTCGCATAGATCGCTGCGGCGAGAGCTTGATCTATTTTATCCTTTTCCTCTTTTGAAATCTTGTCCACAAACGAGAGAATCTGACGCTTGGCAGTCGGCGGACCGTCCCCCTGGCCCTTCTCCTTGGTCGAGGTAGACGGTGTCGTCTCCAATGCGGCGCCAGGGCGCTTCGCTGCTGGGGTGGTGTGTGCAGTTGAAGCTGGAAAGGAAGCAAGAGGAATTATTAAAACTGAGCATATAAATCCCTCCGCAGTTAGCCGCACGCGAAGCGCAAAACGCAGCCGCAAGCGATCACCAAGTCTCCAACCCCTGCCCAGCCAGTGCTGTTACCTAGCGTCAAAAATAGGAACTACGACGCGAGAAGGACGCCGCGCCGCGACGTGTTTGCTCACGCGGCTCTGGCTCTGGCGTTGCACTCGGCGCGGCGCGGCGCAATGGCCAACTTCTAGGTTATGTGGGCTCGAACCGAGACCCAAGCAGATTAAAGTTACTTTGCACGCGCTGGGAGTGAGGTGAGACCTCGAGTAACAAAGCGATAGTAATAATAATCGGTACGAACCTTCTCCGCTGGTAGATGGTGAGTCCACGTCCTCTTCGACAATTACACTGAGGGGAACCCCCGGTGACTTATTACTGTACAAGGCCCGTACAACAGCAGGACATTTCATGCAACCTTTGATATGATTCGTACAGCGTGTGGCGTTTGGGGCTTGGGTCTTCCCACAGTGCTTGCAGGTTGCCTTCACTCTCTTGTTATTTTCCCCGATCTCACAGTAAAATTCGTCCCAAATATCGGACGTTTGGCGACCCATGTTTGAACCTGCATAAAAGTAAAGAGAAATAATGTCAAATGATTTAAAATCGGTAGCGTAAGTATGCGCAGGTGATAGAGAGAAAATGTATTGACCGCAACGGGCAAGAATAATTAGAAAATAGAAAACAAGAACTGTTGCGAGAGCACAATCATAACCTCACTTTCTGAGCTGCCGGGAGTGACTAACTTTCCAAGTATTTATATAAGTTACACCGTCCGGTGTCCCATATATAGAGTATACAAAATCGTCACCCATCAATATAATCGGCTTTACGAAACACTCGGTTATAATAAGTTACTTACCATTAACAAACGTTCGGCTGTATTTCACTACGAAAGGAGATTAGCTGCGCCTCGCCTCGTACCGTAAAACAACGCAAGCCGATGCACGTAGATGTAGGTATTCCCCTCTCTCTCTGTCACGGCCTTCTCACATCCGGCATCCTTCGGTCCATTCGCTTACCGCGAGTTTTAAACAACATACAGCACGGCATGCAGTATTCTGCTCCTGCGGCTTCTCACAATCGAAGGAAAAACGAAATCTCCACTAAAACGTCGATTTCATTTTCTTTTCCAATTTTTCCGAAGGCTTTGAAAATTTCGGAAAAATTTCCGAAAAATTCATATTTTTCCGGAAATTTTTCCGGCACTTACAACACTATGCACGTGCATGTTAGTAGTGTTTAGAGCGCCTTCATCGGATCTCCGATGAGCGTTCTGACGCGATGCTCTTGGTTGCAGATGAAGAGTCCGAAACACCGTCGGGGCCAGCGCAGAACGTCCACACCCCGCAGGCCTCTGATCCGCTCTGTGAGTCGGACGTGGAGGCCGTCGAAGAGGTGATCTTCGTGTTTGACGGCAGTCCTGAATGCGCAGATGGGGAGGGAGAGCAGCTTGGGCTGGTGGTTACCGGGTGCTACTCGCTCAGGGCCCACGGCGCAGAGCGTGACGCGAGCAGTGACGGCGGAGAAGGGCAAGAGGACGACAATGCCCTCGACGTCGACGAGCAGGAGGCCCCTGGTGCGGGAAAAGCGGCCGAGGACAAGAAGTATGACACTGAAGGCCAAGAGAGGGCTCATGAGCAGGAGCAAGACCAAACGATTCGATCCGGGAAAAGGCTTGTCCAGAGCGTCAAAGATACATTCAAGTGTCAGGAATGCAGCAAGTGTTTTAGTCATGAAAGTAACTTTTTTGCCCACGTCACGACCCACACGGGCGAGAAACCATATGAGTGTGACATTTGTCTCAAGTGTTTCAGTCAGAAAGCTTATCTTAATTCTCACCTCAAAATTCACACTGACGAGAAACCATTTAAATGTGACATTTGTTTAAAGCGATTTAGACTTAAACGTAACCTTAATTCCCACGTCAAAACCCACACTGGCGGAAAACCATTTAAATGTGACGTTTGTTTGAAGCATTTCAGTTATAAATGTCACCTTGATTCCCACGTGAAAACCCACACCGGCGAGAAACCGCACGGATGTCACGTTTGTGGAAAGCGGTTTCGCTGGAAAAATGTCCTTGCAGCCCACTCCAGGACTCACACTGGCGAAAAACCATTTGAATGCGACGTTTGTCAGAAGAGGTTTAGATTTAGAGAAGGCCATTCT